TCTGTCTGCTCTCCCTGTAACCTGGCATCTCTCCACCATCCCCAGGAATGTGACAATCTGTGGTGGGATGCCTTCACCACGGAGTTCTTTGAGGATGACGCTATGTTAACAATCACTTTCTGCTTGGAGGATGGACCAAAGAGATATAGTGAGTATCAGCCTGAGCCCTCCGTCCCCCAGGCATTGCCTCTCCGGCAGGAGATGTGGCGGTTGCGCTGTGCCGGGGGGATGTGGGCAGGGTGTCGGAGCTCAGCTGGGACCGGGGGGACCCTCTCCATGTGCAGCCCCAAGGCATGTCTGGGTGAAGCAGGTTTACTGACATTAGTTTCCTCCTTCTCCTGCTCCAGCGATCGGCCGGACTCTGATTCCCCGTTACTTCCGCAGCATCTTTGAAGGGGGGGCCACGGAGCTCTACTACGTGCTCAAGCACCCCAAAGAGTCCTTCCACAACAACTTTGTCTCGCTGGACTGTGACCAGTGCACCATGGTCACCCAGCACGGCAAGCCCATGTTCACCCAGGTACCGGCGGCACCCACGGCTACTCCTGCCCCTCGTGCATTGGTCTGGCATGCCGTCGCGGTGGTTGCGGTCCCACGGGGCAAGGGACGCTGATTTCCATGGCTTGTTGAGTGCCACAGTCACTCCACATGCCTCAGACAGCCCTGCAGCATCCCCTTTTTGTGGAGATCCCCTGGCCGTTGTGGGCTTGTGGGTTTGTCTCGTGGCGAGTCTCACGGCAGGCAGGGGCGAGCCACCGGGAGGGTGTCCCAGTGTGTGGCAGTGGGTTCCCAGGGGATCCGGACTGGGGGCAGTGGGGGCAGCCTGTGCCTGACCCTGCGCCCTGCCCAGGTGTGTGTGGAGGGGCGGCTCTACCTGGAGTTCATGTTCGACGACATGATGAGGATAAAGACGTGGCATTTCAGCATCCGCCAGCATCGAGAGCTCATCCCCCGCAGCATCCTTGCCATGCATGTGAGTACCGCCCCGGGAGCCCCCCGGGGCACGAGTGACAGG